CCAGATGTTATCCAGAAACTTATTAAACACCCGGTCATTTATGACTGTATGCTGAGACCAAATGAAGGAGTCACAAGTTCTGAACGTCAAAAGTCACAGGCTATTATGTTCACGAGTCATCAAGCACAAATGGCTGGTGGGACAGATATTTCCAAGCCCAACAGTAATCCAGAAGAAGGAACCAATGGCGAAGCGAAGGAAGGAGAAGCAGTCCCCGAGGATATCAATGATTTTTATGATAAGTTTGAGAAGGCAGATGAAGAAGAAGAGGAGGATAAAAATCTAAAAACTTTGTCATTTGAAGTCAACCAAGATAAAATTGAGACCCTACAAAAAACTTGCATTGGGCTGGATTACCCACTCTTGGCAGAGTATGACTTTAAGAATGATACTGTCAATGAAGATATTAAAATTGATCTCAAACCTTCAGCTGTCTTACGACCATATCAAGAAAAGAGCTTGAGAAAAATGTTTGGTAATGGAAGAGCAAGGTCTGGTATTATTGTGCTCCCTTGTGGTGCTGGTAAAAGTTTAGTGGGTGTTACAGCATGTTGCACAGTGAATAAAAAGGCTTTGGTACTTTGTAACTCGGGAGTGTCTGTTGAACAGTGGAAGCAACAGTTCAAGATGTGGTCAACTGCAACTGATGATATGATTTGTAGATTTACCTCTGATGCCAAAGACAAACCTTTCAATGCAGGTATTTTGATTACCACATATGCTATGATATCCCACAACCAGAAACGAGCCTATGAAGCAGAGCAGACAATGAATTGGCTCAAGGAACAGGAATGGGGTATTATGGTTTTGGATGAAGTACACACTATTCCTGCAAAAATGTTCAGAAGAGTCCTTACCATAGTCCAGTCTCACTGTAAGCTTGGCTTAACTGCTACTTTGGTCCGAGAGGATGACAAAATCGCTGACCTGAATTTCCTCATTGGGCCAAAATTGTATGAAGCCAATTGGCTTGAGCTGCAGAAGGAAGGATTCATTGCAAGGGTCCAGTGTGCAGAGGTGTGGTGCCCCATGACACCAGAGTTTTATAGAGAGTATTTAACAGGAAAAGTATCTGACCAGAAAATTAGGCTTCTTTGTGCTATGAACCCCAACAAATTTAGAACTTGTGAATTTCTTATCAAATACCATGAGAACAGAAATGACAAGATTATAGTGTTTATTGATGAGGTTTTTGCACTGATTCATTATGCCAAAACTATGGGAAAACCTTACATCTGTGGTAAGACAGGACAGAAGGAACGTATGGCCATCATTCAAAATTTCAAATTAAATCCCAAAGTCAACACCATATTCTTCAGTCGAGTGGCAGATACTTCCTTTGATATTCCTGAAGCAAATGTCTTGATTGAGATCTCGTCTCAGGGAGGATCTAGGCGACAGGAGGCCCAGAGGTTGGGTCGTATCTTGAGAGCTAAAAAAGGAGCCATAGCAGAAGTTTACAATGCCTTCTTCTATGCCTTGCTTTCCCAAGACACGAGGGAGATGGGATACTCGCGCAAGAGACAGAGTTTCCTCATCAATCAGGGTTATGCTTATCAGGTAGTCACACCTGCACAGATGGTTGGAATGGAAGAGGCACAGTTGCATTACAACACCAGAGAGGAAAAAGTAGCATTGCTTGAACAGATCCTTGCTGCTTCAGAATCTGACATGTATGAGGAGGGTCTGGGAGGGGACCGTGCTGTAGGCGGTTCAATGCGTCGAGCTGGAAATATGGGTTCCATGTCGGGGGCTGATGACCAGATTTACGGTGAAAGGAGGAAGGGCTCCAAGAAGGACCACCAGCATTTCCTCTTCAAGAAATACAGATCGTAGTTGATAGAAAAAACTAGTTAACAGATTTCATAATGTTCTTCCATTTTCATTCATAGCATCGCAATTATTTTCTCCCACTCTCCTATAATGAGGCCTCTTTGTATCAAAAGTACTGTATAGAGTATATGGTAACTACATGATGAAATTTGGTGATTGTATATTTAATAGTTAATATCTCAGTATTTAACCCATTGTTGCTGGGGATGACATGTACGTACATGCTATGTCCACTGTGAGTCAACTTGTTTGATTGTTTTTACACATAGATGGCTACACTTGTACTAAGTCACCAATGAGCCAATTACAAGTACTGCCTGTCTCGCCCATTAACCATTTTCATTGATTTACAAAAATATTTAACGTTATCCTAATTTGCTGTTAAAAATAACACCATCTATATTTATAGCACTAGTAAGAATACGTTTTTTCCTGCCAATTCAAGGAAAGGTGAAATCAGGGCTAGCAGAGCCATCTATGTACAGAGATCCCCATTTTCCCCATTTTTTGTTCATTTTCCCCGGCGGCAATGGGTTAATTTCATATTCAATTTGAGAAATACTAATTTATACATTGTATGATTATACATGTTATGAATATATTACCAAAAATGGTAAAAAAAATCTCTGTGATGGTTTCCATATTCTGATTGAAGTAATGATGGTTATGTTTATACCTACCATTATTTTAATAATAATAAGAAAAACAGATGTATAGTTCATTTTGTATTCTATGTTTGGATATAAATAAACAAGAAAAACTACTTATTTGTAATTACTTTCCCTCTGTTGTTGATATTTTTACCAATAAACATTATTTCACAAGAACTCAGTGATAAAAGAGAGAGAGAGAGAGTGTCAGTGATTCTATATACATACTGTATGTATGTTTTAGAGAGATAGATAGTAGGAGTATTATTGATTCCATATCCATATTGTATATATATTTTCAAATGAAAGGATAGACTTAATCCTTTTTTCTTCCACAAGTTCACCAACTTTTGCATCCATCTTAGCGCTATGGTTTGGCAAAAAAAAAAAAATTCTTGTTAAAGGGTTTTACACTGTTGTTATTTATATTCCCTGTGTAATCTTTTGAACTTCTTGGTTCTTAGATTATATCATTTAATTTAATTCTTCATAGAAAAATCTTTGTATGTCTCAATATGTAGTACTTTATTGTTAATGGATTGTCTGAACCAATAATCCAGAGATTTATATTAATATCTTGTATATTAACTTATTGTGTTAGTTTTACTCTGTGGGAGTTAAATCTTAGACATTACAGCAACAAGTGTTCAATGGTTTCCTCTTGAATCTACATCATCTGCAGATTGGGTATTTTTCCATTTTTATTTTGTGTTGGGGTTTCAATCTTCTGTTTGTCATGATTCTTGTGATTCATGTGTCTAGTTTATGTACTTGTTTCTGGCCCATGGTTGTTGGTTGATATCTTTGATGAGATAATTTTTTGTATTCAGGATTCTCTTTAAATTCAATTCTCATTGTTTAATTTTTTTTTTATTTGATTTCTTTTATAATACTAATTGGGTCTTGAGGTATGAGCACCGGATCATTTATAGATTTCATGAGTTTTCTTTGCAGTTAAATCAGCAATTTCATATCCCTTATATTTATGTGTGACAGAAGCCATTGTGACATTGTATTTTGTTTTGGATTGAGAGGTTTTTTTTTTTAATATTTGTTTCTAGTTTATTGATTTGTGATTTTTAGTTGTAGTTATGATTGGGAGTCTGTTAACATTATTGAGTTGGTTGGTTGGTTTTTATTATGTAATTCAAACCTTATTTTATGACAAATAATTATACAGGAGTGATTTGTATTTTGGGGGTAATTCCCCAATAATTGTTGTAATTTTAATCTGGATGAAAATTGCTGTCGAGGTTGATTCAGATTCTTTTATTTTTGAAGTGTCAGTGAAAATCCTATCAAGATTATTTTATAGGTAGTATGTGTTCATCTTTGGTATTCTATTTGAATGATAATTTGAACAGTCTTTTGTTGAAGTTGTTATATTGTCCATTAAGTTAGCTAATAAGGTTTCTTGGAATTCGATTTTTCCCGGCAGCCAATCAGAGCCAGGTTGAGCTTTCCATTGGCCAATCACGGCGCCCTTTTCTCGGCAGCCAATCAGAGCCAGGTTGAGCTTTCCAGTGGCCAATCACGGCGCCCTTTTCCCAGCAGCCAATCAGAGCCAGGTTGAGCTTCCATTGGCCAATCAGAGCCAGGTTGAGCTTTCCATTGGCCAATCAGAGCCAGGTTGAGCTTCCATTGGCCAATCACGGCGCCCTTTTCCTAGCAGCCAATCAGAGTGCGCTTTCCATTGGCCAATCAGAGCCAGGTTGAGCTTCCATTGGCCAATCACGGCGCCTTTTCCTAGCAGCCAATCAGAGCCACTTGAGCTTCCATTGGCCAATCACGGCGCCCTTTTACCCAGTCCAGCAGCCAATCAGAGCCACGTTGAGCTTTCCATTGGCAATCACGGCGCCCTTTTCCCAGCAGCCAATCAGAGCCACGTTGAGCTTTCCAGTGGCCAATCACGGCGCCCTTTTCCCAGCAGCCAATCAGAGCCAGGTTGAGCTTTCCATTGGCCAATCACGGCGCCCTTTTCCCAGCAGCCAATCAGAGCCAAGTTGAGCTTCCAGTGGCCAATCACGGCGCCCTTTTCCCAGCAGCCAATCAGAGCCAAGTTGAGCTTTCCATTGGCCAATCACGGGCGCCCTTTTCCCAGCAGCCAATCAGAGCCAAGTTGAGCTTCCAGTGGCCAATCACGGCGCCCTTTTCCCAGCAGCCAATCAGAGCCAGGTTGAGCTTCCATTGGCCAATCAGAGCCAGGTTGAGCTTTCCATTGGCCAATCAGAGCCAGGTTGAGCTTCCCAGCAGCCAATCAGAGCCAAGTTGAGCTTCCATTGGCCAATCACGGCGCCCTTTTCCCAGCAGCCAATCAGAGCCAGGTTAAGCTTTCCATTGGCCAATCACGGCCAAGCGTGACACAAGCAGCAATAATACAGACAAAAACAAAAGATGGCAACTCTTCTACCCAAATCAACCAAGTTCTCTCTTCTTTGGGCGTGAAAATGAACCCAAAATGTCGGCAAACTTCGTTGAAAACACCTCTTAGCAGTAAGTTTCAGGTCAATCTTTCCA